TTATTTTGTTTTTCGGTGCTAAGTTTTTGAGTTCTTTATAAATTCTGGATATTAATGCCCTGTCTGAAATGAAGGTGGCAAAAATCTTCTATTCTGTAAGCTCTCTTCATGTTCTTAATTGTTTCTTTTGCTGTGCAGATGCTTTTTAGTTTGATATTTATATTTGGTTTTATTTCTTGCATTTTAGGAGTCTTATTAATGAAGTTGTTTCCTGTGCTAACATATTGGAATGTTGGGCCTACATTTTCTAGCAATTGCAGAGTTTCTGGTCAGTGATTCACTCTGAGTTGACCTTTGTGCAGGGTGAAAGATTAAGTGTCAAGTTTCATTCTTCTACATATGGATATCCAGAATTTTCCAAGCTCCATTTGTTAACATTGCTATCTCTTCTACAATGTATGTTTTTGGCAACTTTGTCTAACATCAGGTAATTGTATTTATGTGGGTTTGTCTCTGTGTCTTCTATTCTATTCCATTGGTCTTCAAGTCTGTTTTGGTGCCAATACCATGTGGTATTTGTTATTAGAACTCTGCAGTATAATTTGAGGTCAGGTACTATGATGCCTCCCTCAAGCATCACTCTTTTTGCTCATGATTGCTTTGGCTCTTTTGGATCCTTATTTTTCCACATAAATTTATAACTGTTTTTTCTAGTTCTGTGAAGAATGTCATTAGTATTTTGAAGGGGACTGCATTGAGTCTGTGAAACACTTTTGGTAGTACGGCCATTTTGACAATATTAATTCTGCCTATCCAAGAAAAAGGGAGGTATCTCCATCTTCTAAGGTATCCTTCAATGTCTTTTTTCAGTGTTCTGTAGTTTCCATTGCAGAAGTCCTTCACCTCCTTCATTAGATTAATTCACAAGTACTTTTTGAGGTTACTGTGAACGCTTTTAGTTTTCTTTTCAACAGATTAATTATTAGAGTATAGGAAAGTTATTTACGTATGTCCATCTTATATTCTGCTACATTGCTAAATTTATCAACTCTAGAAGTCTTCTGGTGAAATCTTTGTGATCTTCTTAAAAATATAGGAGTATGTCATCAGCAAATAGAGATAACTTGCCTTTTTCTTTTCCTATTTTATCAGTTTAATTTCCTTCTCTTGACTGATTGCTCTAGTTAAAGTTTCAAGGACTATGTTGAATAGGAGTGGTGAGATTGGGCATCCTTGTCTTGTTTCAGTTTTTAGAGAAAATACTTTCAGTTTTTCTTCATTCAGTATGATATTGGCCTTGGGTTTGTCAGATATTCCCTTTACAATGTTGAGGTATATCCCTTCTCTCCCCAGTTTCTCTGGTGTTTTAAACATAAATGTGCACTGTACTTTGTAAAATGCTTTTTAGTTTGATAATCTATTGAGATAATCATATGATGCTTGTCCTAATACTCTTTTATGTGATGAACTTCACTTATTGATTTCTGTGTGCTGAACGAACCTTGAATCCATGGGATGAAACTTACTTGATCTTGGTGCACTATCTTTTTCAATATGCTTTTATATGTGGTTTGTGAATAGTTTATTAAGAATTTTTGCACTTATGTTAATCAAGGTTATTAATATGAAGTTTTCTTTCTTGATGTGTCTGTTTGGTTTTGGATGATACTGGCTTCAAAACTTGAGAAGAATATTCTTTGTGAGAGTTAAATTCACAGGAAATGTTTTGCTCAGGTGTAAAGATAGATTTTTTTTTCAAATTTTCAGAAATGTAAGTTATAATAACATTTATGTTTTGAAAAGAAGCTATGGATATCCCCAAATAAAGGAATCAACCAAGAATAAAGATAAGAAACCAGTAATTGTTGAAGGAGAAGAAAGGAAAATTCCAACACAGCCAGTTTACGTTAGAATATTCCAGAAAACAATCTTCAAAATAATAAAATAAAAAGAATATTTGCTATATTTAAGATATCAAGTGGATTTTTCAGGTCAGTTCAGCTTAGAATGAATTAGTGATACATATATAAAACAGGAAGCAACTGAAAAACTTAAAAACTTGAAGGAAAATACAAAAGTTATGTATTTATTGATCTGTGTGATGTTTACATGGATGTATTGACTTTGTGAAAAATCATCAAACTATCCATTTATGTTCCGGGCCCTTTCTGAATATGTCTAAATAGTTCAATAGCAAATTTTCTTAAAACAAAAATACCCATTTTCTATTTTTTTCCCAGTGATTCAGGCCTAAAAACAACTAAAAAAAAAAAAAAACAGTTGAGAAAGGCACTGTAACCATGATTCTTTATGTGATTGATATATAAATATTATTTGGGTGTTTATAATAATGTAAACATTATTTGATTAACCCAAAATTGTGGAACAACTATATTAAGAGGGGGAAACTGAAGAATGAGAGTTTAAAAGAAAGTTAGATCTACATTTTTTTGTAGCAGAAACTCAATATAACATCTAAAATTTAAAAAGTAGAAATGCCTATATAGGCAAATTACCTAAAAAGAGGGAGTTTAAAAACAACATACAGGGCTGAGGTTGTGGCTCACAGGTAGAGCACTCGCCTAGCATGCGTGAGGCACTAGGGTCAATCCTCAGCACCACATAAAATAAAGATACTGTGACCACTTATAATTAAAAAAATAAATAATTTAAAAAAACATACAGATAAAAAAAACATACAGATAAGTAAATGAAAATGACTGCCTTTGGAAGTAGGGACTAGAAATAGGGTATGGTAGAGCAACTGGGTGTCAGATATGTATCTTTCTAAATTTAAAGTGCTTTGACTTTTTAAATTTTGTCCATGCATTAATTTGGAAAAAATAAATATCACATTTTACAACACGATATCTTAAAAACTTTCAGAAGGAATTTGTTTTCAACATTCAATACAATAATTAGCAGAAAGAGCATCTAGATAAGAAAGTGATAAGTAACACTAAAACAAATGAACAATAGTTGAAAACTATTCAAGATAAATCACTAAGCCAGGTGCAGAGGCTCATGCCTACAATACCAGTGATTCAGGAGGCTGAGGCTAGAGGAACCCAAGTTCAAGGCCAGCCTCAGCAACTTAGCAAAGCCTTAAACAACTTAGCAAGACCCATCTCAAAATTAAAAATAAAAAAGGGTAGGTAAGTAGCTCAGTTGTAAAGCCCCCCTGTGTTCAATCCCCAGTACCAAACAACAACAACACATAAATCAGTAAGCCAACCAACTTTAACATGGAACTTTAACATCAAATTTCTTCATACTATTGTTTTTCAGAGTATATAATAAATCATGGGTGTTAATTTTGCTTTCCAAAGCTGCCTCAAAAGAAAAAGTTTCCATAATTACTTCAGAACATTTTTAGGTGTCCTATAATATCTGTACCAGCATAACCACCAAATATTTGACAAAACACTGAGTAGCACTTACAAGACTGCTCCAGTAATCCAAGTGAGCAATAAGGCTGGCTTGGCTCAGGGAGATGGGAAGACATGTCTGGATTTCAACTCGGAACAAGTAGCTCTACACCCTTCAAAAGTCTTCTTAGTATATACTGAATCAAACCTCCTTCCATGCAGTTTCCACACACAGCCCTTTGGAATTATGCCAAGTAAATCTAATCTCTTTTGTAGACAGAGACTTTTATACTTTAGAAGATAGTTACAAATACTCCTTATATCTTTTCTTTCACAGGGCATTTCTTTCAATGATTCCTCATTTGGTATGATTTTGCTAATCTCATCCTTTTCACACTAGTTTGGAAATTTCCAATTTATGAGTTTTTACCTTAAAATATCTGCTCAGAACTTAATAAAGCCCCACTCCCCAATATGTATAAAGTCATTGGAACAGATATCTTTCTTAGTCTATGTAGACATTATACTATTATTTATAAAAATATAACTATTCTCTTAGTTCTGATAAAAAGCTTGTAATTAACTAAAATTTCTAATATTTTTTCATAGTCACCATTTTGAACCCAAGGGTACCATCAGAGAACTTCTTCTATGGTTGATACTAATATTATGCATGGTCCAATGAAGCATTTATATTATCACATGGCCTTTATTATCTTCAAAAATATAATGAAAGACATTAAATGCCATTCTAAAATGAAGATGCTCTGTGAAAATAAAGTTTTTTTATAAATGAAGACTGGTTTTTTTTAGTCGCTTTATATGTAGTTATATCATGTTATACATGTGCATCAATTTGATTTCAATGGATAACTATCAGTACAGGATGTGATAAATGTCATACTCAAAATTATATATATTTTCATGCTTTAAAAAGTATCAATTAAAAGAAAATGACAGATATTTTATTATAAGATATTATAGATAATCTTTTGCAAAGGAATGTTAATAAGAAATCAGGCTGGATGTGGTGGCGCATACCTGTAATCCCAGTGGCTCAGGAGGCTGAGGCAGGAGGATAGCAAATTCAAAGCTAGCCTCAGCAACTTAGCAAGGCCCTAAGCAATTTAGTGAGACCCTGTTTCAAAATAAAAAATATAAAAAAAGGCTGAGGATATGGCTAAGTACCTCGGGTTCCATCCCCAGTACCCCAAAAACAAAACAAAACAAAGAAAAATCACCATAATCAAACCAAGAAAATAATTTCATAAATATGCAATGGATAAGAAAACAAAGTTATATCATGTGTTAACCTAAAGGCCTCAGAAAACTTGAATTCACCATAATCTACCTACCTAAAACTCTAATGTAGAAACTGTCCTGTTTTTAACACTGTTTTTAACTTAATTATGCCTATTTTATCAAAATGAGTATATTTTTAACATTACATAGACCAGCTTAACTGTTTAAAATATCATAAGTAGTATGGGCACTTTGAAAGTCTAAAGGTTAATCCTAAAACTTGAAAGTAGAGCAAAAGCACCCTTTATTAAGAAAAATGATATCACATATTAGAATCTTGACACTGAAGTACTAATTTGGGGATAATTGTGTCTCCATCACTGCTTTCTCAGATACTAAACTCAACTAAATGAGATTCACAGAAGCCACACATTAAAGGCAAAATAATTTTTTAGGCAAAATAATTCATAAATTATTTCATGTTATTTTTCCAATTTCAGTGATATTTATGTGAAAATTCTTATTAATTTTTCTAATTTTTAAATTAATTTTTAGAAAACTAGGAGAATTTTTGCTGGGAGATAGACAGCTATGTCAAGTCAAATTTCATTTTAACATAATCATTCTTGCTTCTTAGCAGGAAAGGGAAGATGAAAGACCGACTTCAAGAACTAAAGCAAAAAACAAAGGAAATTGAACTTTACAGAGACAGTCATGTGTTGAGTACGGAAACAGAGGAAAAAGGGGTGTTTGTGCAGCAAGCTGTTATTTATGAGAGAGAGCCTGTAGCTGAGAGACACCTACATGAGATCCAAAAACTACAGGAGAATATTAACAATTTGGCAGATGATGTGCAAAGATTTGGACAGCAACAGAAAAGTCTGATGGCTTCAATGAGAAGGTTTAGCCTCCTTAAGAGAGAGTCTAGCATTACAAAGGAGATAAAAACCCAAGCAGAACACATTAACAGAGGTTTGGATGATTTAGTTAAAGAAGTTAAAAAGTCAGAGGTTGAAAATGGTCCATCATCAGTCATCACAAGGATACTTAAATCTCAGTATGCTGCAATGTTCCGCCATTTTCAACAAACTATGTTTATATACAATGACACAATAGCTGCAAAGCAAGAGAAGTGCAAGGCATTTATTTTTCGTCAACTTGAAGTTGCTGGTAAAGAGGTACCTGAAGAAGAAGTAAATGATATGCTTCACCAAGGAAAATGGGAAGTTTTTAATGAAAGCTTACTCACAGAAATCAATATCACTAAAGCACAACTCTCAGAGATTGAACAAAGACATAAGGAACTTGTTAATTTGGAAAACCAAGTAAAGGATTTACGGGATCTTTTCATTCAGATATCTCTTTTAGTAGAGGAACAAGGAGAGAGCATCAATAATATTGAAATGATAGTAAATAGTACCAAAGATTATGTTAACAATACTAAAGAGAAATTTGGACTAGCAGTAAAATACAAAAAAAGAAATCCATGCAGGATACTGTGCTGTTGGTGCTGTCCATGCCGTGGCTCAAAATAAAGAAACTATTTTTAAAAATTTTCCATATTTAAGCTGAAGGATGTATTTCAGTGTCTGTTTTTCATTGTTTCATGGATCCACACTTTATCAGTGTTAAGTCATAATTTTCCCCTTCAACACCCACTAGTATTACAGAGATTCCTGAAGTCAGTGACATAAGTCTTTAAATTTTAATTATCTGAAAACAGTATGAATACCTTCAACTCACAGGTTAACAAAAAAAATCAGATGAATAAATTGAAGTTTCTGATCAGGTACTAAATTCTATTACACATTTTTCCTAACTTCTAATGCTTTAACAAGATGAATGTTCAATTAAGTGATGACTATGTAAGCAATACACTTGGCTATTTGAGACTATTTGGTAATTGAGAATTACATAAAACATGACATCAGAGGATGCTATAATAAAGCAAAATCAAGTAGATTTCACATCAAATTTGGTGGTAGAAAAAAATGAGAGAATTCTTGTGTGACATTTTCCATTTCCTTAAAGAACTATAAGGCAAAATTGTCAAATGAAAGCTCAGTAGGTTTAAGGAGTAACAGAAAGAAAGCGATAAGGAATAAAATAGTCATTTGGGATGGGAGGATAACAATCATTTTATAAAAGGTAGCAGAATAACCAGGCAGCATTTAGGGCTCAACTAAATGTATGGTCACAACTTTAATGTGATATCACCCAGTGCAGTCATGTTTTTAACCTATTGATGTTTTAGCTGCTTGGGTACCAGCATAGAATGTAAAGATAATGGATCTATTTAATATGGCAGCTTTTCCAGATGTGTATAATGGAGGGAAAATGTGTTATGGTAGCTTAAGGTACTTGAAAAGGCAAAATTTATACATTTATCATAAATATCATAAATCATTTTAAAATTATGAATAAAGAAATTGAAGCACTTTCTACTATGTCAAATGTCAAGCATCATTGTAGAAAGATGTTTCATATCTCAGCTCAAATGTTTAAGAAATATTATAAAAGGAATAATTTAAAACAGGTAACAAACTCCACAGGTAATAGTTAAAACTAACATATCTTCTGCTCCTGTTAAACTTGCATTCAGAGCTTTCATGATATTTGTTTCTAATTATTCCTGGGCTAGGGTTGTGGCTCAGAGATGAGCGCTTGCCTAGCAACTGTGAGGCACTGGGTTTGATTCTCAGCACCACATGAAAATAAATAAACAAAGGTCCATTGATAACTGATACACACACACACACACACAAATAATTATTTCTAAACTGTTTATCATAAAAATCGAGAATATTTAGTACTATTTAATATTCAACAGTATTAGACAGATTCACAAATGTTTTTTTTTTTCTGTTAGCACTGTGAATTTGAACACAGTGCCTTTAAAGCAAGAGTTAAATACAGCAATTTTCATCACAAAGCAATGTGTCATATACAGTTTTTCCTTCTGTATTTTAAAACTATTACTATTATCCTAACCTAAGCAACAGAAACAATGATACTTAATTAGTTGTCAAACATTTTGTATATTTTATTTTTATACTTAATAGGCACTACAAGTAGTAGTTTTTTTCTTAATGTAACTATCTGAAAGGGATAAAATTCCTTGAAGGGGTTGAAGGCACAATGTTAGGAATCTATTGGTTCTGTAAGTATGGGAAGATCAAAATAATTAATAAAAATTGTTATGATCATAGGACTTATATTCATAATCACTAAACTATGCCATTTTCTGTGATCATAAGTTTTGTGTAGCTTAAATTCATGTAACATTTTAAAAACAGCTCTCTCTTGAAGCCCAACATCAAGGTGAGGGACAGACAATCTGCATGGGTACTACAAGAATACAGGGAAGAAACTGTAATATCTCAGATCCACACTGCAAGAAAGAAAGACATATAAATGTCTTTCTTTCACAGCAAGTGCTTTTGAGCTCCTTTAGAGAGTCTTAAAAGGAACTACAGTGTGCATGCAGACAGGCTGATTTTGCTCCTTAACCTGATCAAAGACTGGAAAAAGCTAAAAACCTGTAATGTCCTCCCCCTACTTCCAGTGATATTCTAAGGCCACACACAGACAACATGAAAAAACAAGGGAGGAAGGTGCCCCAAACAAACCAGGATACTGTAATAACAGAATCCATGGACAGTGAAGTTGATGAAATGTCAGAGAAGAAGTTCAGAAGGTTCATAATTAAAATGATCTGTGAATTAAAGAATGACCTAAGACCTAAATGAGCAAATACAGGCAAAAATTGATCACTCCAACAAAGAGATAAGAGAGAAAATACAGATAGCAAAAGATTACTTCAAGAAAGAGAGAGACTGAAAAAAAAAAAAAAAAACAGAAATCCTTGAAATAAAGGATACAATCTCAGCACCACATACAAATACATAAATAAATAAAGGTCCATCAATAACTAATAAAAATATTTTTAAAAACTCAATAAAGCATAACCAATAGACTAGATCACTTGGAAGAAAGAATGTCAGATAATGAAGACAAAGCATACAATGTGGAAATTAAAGTTGATCACACAGTGAAGATAGTAAGAACAATGTAATGATGCAATTTAAAGAATTAGAAAAGCAAGAACAACCCAAACCCACAGTCAGTAGAAGGAAAAAAACAGATCAGAGCAAAGATAAACAAAATACAAACCAAAAAAAAAAAAAAAAGACAAAAAGTTGGCTTCTGAAAAGAAAAACAAAAGTAACAAACTTCTAGACTAAGAAAACGTGACCCAAATAAGTAAAATCAGAGATGAAAAAGAAGCGATTACAACTGATACCACAAATAGAAGATCATTAGGGACTATTATGAACCACCATCCACTAACAAACTGGAAAACTTTAAAGAAGTGAATAAATTTCCAGACACATATAACTTACCAAAATTGAACCATGAAGACATGGAAATCTGAACAGGCATTAACAAATAAAACAGTGAAATCTGTAATTAACATCTTCCCATAAAGAAAAAAACAAGGATCAAATGGCTTCACTGCTTAATTTTATGACATTTTTAAAGGTACTAACATCATTTCTTCTCAAACCATTCTAAAGTATTGAAAGGGAGGAAATTTTTCTAAACTCATTGTACAAGTCCAACATTAACCTGATACCAGATGAGGAAAAATTCACAACATAAATAAGAGAAAAAAAAAGAGAAAAAGAAAAGTATAGACCAATATCCCTGATAAAGCCAGATGTAGACATTCTCAATAAAATACTAGTAATACAAATCCAAAATTACACAAAAAATTCTACACCACAATTTAGTGGAATTTATTTGAGATACAAAGATGGTTGGATATATGCAAATCAATAAACTTAACATATCACATTCACTAATGAAGGACAAAAGTCATATGATGATCTCAATAGATGCACAAAAAGCATTCAATAAGATTCAATAAACTTCATAAACCTCTCAAAAAATTAAGCATGGGCCAGGTGTGGTGGTGCATGCCTGTAATCCAGTCATTGGGAGGCCGAGGCAGGAGGATCATAAGTTCAAGGCCAGCCTCAGCAACTTAGTGAAGCCCTAAGCAACTTAGTAAGACCCTGTTTCAAAATTAAAAATTAAAAAAGGGCTGGGAATGTGGCTTGGTTGTTAAATGCTCCTCAGTTCAATACCTGGTACAAAAAAAACAAAACAAAACAAAACAAATTAGGCATGGTAGAAATATATCTCAACACAATAAAGGCTATATATTAAAAACTTATAGACCTCTGTTCTGGCTGTACCCGATGCTGCACCTGTGTGGATCCCTGATGCTCAGCTCCCCATCTACCAACGCATGGCTCCTCTGGCCACCTCTAACCTGGGACACTGCAACTGCTGCATTAGGCCCCTCAACCTGGTAGCCTCCATCTTGGGACACTGGAAGGGCCTGAAGGCAGCAGCCTGCCACAGCACCACCAGCCGCATTGCTGCATCTCCAAACAGGCTGCCCAATGCCGTGGCACAAGCCCACCATCGCTGTCCCATCTCTGAAAGCAGTCGCCTTCATCTTGGTACACCACCACCATCTTGGGTTACCTCCACTGCCACCATTGCCATCTTTAGTTGGGGCAGCTTCCATCTTTGGACACTAGCAAGAGCCTGGAAGCCCAACATCAAGGTACCTGCAGGTTAGTCACCTCCACCATCACCACCAACTAGGACCACGGTTTCTTCCACCCAGGGACAACAACCAGGACCTCATAGACCATCACCAAGGTCCCTATAGGCTTGGTTACACTTGAAGTCTCCCTGCTAGGTGTACTGATAGCTACCTGCTTCCTGCAGAGGCAGGAGAGAGCTTTGCATGGAGTCAGTAGGTTAGAAGAAGGTATGAAGGCTCAGTGCCAACCAGATTCCCTGGGCCAACTCAGGCAGCACTTGCTGAGACGTGACAACAGTCCGGTCCCCAACTCCCTCCATATACCATCATCTAATGATCACTAGTCCTGCCAGTTTGGCAATCAACAGGGACTTTTGGCTCCCCAATCCCCAGTCTTCCAACATCACCCCCTAGCCACCAACCCATCTCAACACTTGCAGCTATGTGGCTGGCCTGCAGCTCTCAATGCCTGGTCCTGATCTTCCAGATACAGAACAGCTTTCCACAACAGGGACACAGCCCTCAGGACCTCTGGAGAGAGAGGTTCCTGATTGGGTAGTCAAAAGGTCAGGGGCAAGAGAGAGACAATTTAAAGACTAAATTAGAGACCAGGAATTGTAGAATCCTCAGGCAAGACCAGGCTCCCACATCACATGAGTAGACCCAAGGAGATTCCTGGGATGCGTTCTTCCAACAGGGACCGGCAACTGCTACACCTTGCCTCTAGGATTTCCATTTTCAAGACTAACCCTCACACCCTAATAATATTCACCATCCAGAGGGTGGAGATACCAACAAAATCCAGACAACACCACCTATCAGATGAGAAGGGAAGCAGGGAACTCAAACAGAAACAATCATTCAATTTTCCTTTGAGATATTTTTTTTCTTTCTTGTCCCACCCTCACATCCCTAACATTTGTGAAACCAAG